AAAAAAAGGGTTCCGGTGACTGATTTTACTTCCCGGAATCGCTGGAATTTATGCACAGCGATAAATCTCTCACGATAGCTCTGATACCATGTGAGAAGGCACGGGAGAAAATATGATATATTGATGTTGTGTGTGATGCAATACAAGAGGTGCTATTTATAGCTACTCTATACAAAGGAGATACTACTCCTATTCCAATGTGGGACAATTACATAGCTATCTCTAACATTTACATAACTATCTCTAACAGTTGTTAATGTAGTAACTTGGAAATAAGGCAAATGACATGCTAAAATAGGTTAAAATACAGTAATAATATAAAAATTCTTTACATTATATAGATTAAATAAATCCTTCTAGATAGTAAGACCTTATTGCACAATGAAAACCGTTGAAATGGGGAGAGTCAAGTGATCTAGGATTGATCAAATTTGCCTTGTTATGTGAGAAATGAATGAATCCAACTCCATGTTCTTAATACCACCTTCTGCTACTGATTTCTTAAGAGCTGCACTCAAATCCATTGCTCTGTTCCTCATTTCTTCTCCTTCTTTAGACGCCATTAATTTTTCCACTGCTGCCTGCACCATGATAGATGTTACCATCTCGTGCCTACGAGTCCAATCCTTAACGACTATGCCAACTTTTAAAATCTTCGTGACCAATATAGTATTTCGGGGTTGATCCGAATGCATTGGCCACGCTGCTATTGGCACGCCCATGGAAATGCTCTCCATGCACGAATTCCATCCACAGTGACTCATAAAACCGCCTACAGAAGAATGTGCCAATATTTCCAACTGTGGCGCCCAATCCCTTAACACCACTCCCTTTTCTTTAACTCTCTCTTCGAACCCTTTTGGCAAATCGATCTTTCTTGATTGATCTTTAGCGAAAACATTCCCTTTATCGGCATCTCTCAGTACCCAAACGAACTTCTGCTCGCTCTTTTCCAATCCAATTGCCATCTCCTTGATCTGTTCATCCGAAAATGAAGTTGTCGTGCCAAAAGACACGAAGATCACAGAGTTTTGTCCTTGTTTGTCTAGCCAACTTAGACATTTATGTCGTTTGGTACTACCTTTGGTCCCATGTTGTACTAAAACAGGATTGAATGGTCCAAGTGCCCACTGCTTTTTGTTATTACTAATCTGTTCCTTGGACAGCAAATCAAGAAAAGGACCTTCTATAACTTTGCATGTGTTGTAAATCTTCCCTGAATTGAACTTCAAGTAATCATATTCATTTCTAATGAATTTCTCAAATTCAGGACTAAAACAATCTTCAAGTGAAGGAACATCTTTTAGCATATTTGCATCAATGTTAAAAGGCCTGCCCATATTCTCCCATATGAACAAGAACAATGTGAAAGCTGACACACTGTGAAAAGCATAGGCTTCTGCATTTGGTAAGTACACAAAATCTTGAACCACTGACCCCATTAGGGAGTCATGAATGATGATTGCTCTCTGGCTTTTCGACGAGAGGACACGAAGAAGTTTGGCCACAGGCTTTCGTAGATGAGAAGTTGCCTCGAATGATGGTTGAAGATGGCAAGGAAATTTGATGGAAACGTTCGGATTAGGAGGGGGAGATACGAAAAATGGTGTTGAGAATTCATGAAAATGAATATTGACAAAAGAAAAAGGGTCATGAACTCTTAATTTAGCTTGATGAGTGTGTGTCTTGGTTGTAACATAATGGACTTTTACATTATAGGAAGCAATGAGTTTACATAGTTGAAGAAGTTGATTGAGATGTCCTTGTGCTGGAAAAGGGACAACAACTACTACAATATCATGATTTTTTTGGCCATGGTTTTGGAAATGGAGATTGGAGGCCATTGAAAAAGCTAATCTATGAATGTTTTATTTCAAAATTAGATATGTGCTTTACATATATATACACAGAGAGATAGGAATTTTGGTGTTTTTAGGGCCTATGTTTTGCTAGCAATTTGAAGACTAGTCGACGACTGTAGTTATGAAAATACTTACTCGTACCTGATGTTTATATTAAATTAATAAGTTTAATTTTAACCGTCTCAAAATAAAGTGACAATATATAGCACTTAATATAGGAACTTTGGTGTTATTAGGGCCTATGTTTTGCTAGCAATTTGAAGACTAGTCGACGGCTGTAGTTAGGAAAATACTTATTCGTACCTGATATTTATATTAAATTAATAAGTTTAACTTTAACAGTCTTTTGGTGTTAGCAGGGCCTATGTTTTGCTAGCAGCTTGTCACAGGTCATTCCATTTTTTTGTGTTTGGGAGACTGTGTCTGTTAACATGAAAATACTTACTCGCACCTGATGTTTACATTAAATTAATAAGTTCAAGTTTAAGAGTCTCAAATTTAAGTGATAGCATATACACTTAATCACGATTAATCAATACTCTCTCCTACTTAGCCTTTTGCACGCATACTTTAAGAAAACATTACTAATATGAGTTATTTGATTGAATTGCCCTTATTTATTCTTAGATCTCTCAATCTCATAAAAATAGCACCGGCTAGCCAGTTTTCGGACTAGTCATTCAAAAATAGCCAGCGTTTGCAAAGTCATTGAAAAATAATCATTATTTTGCTGCAACACGAAAAGTTCCAGCATAATGTACTGGAGATCGGTGCACCTGTGTATGAACTTCCAACATATTATGTTAGAACTCCAACACACGGAAAGTTCCAGTATAATATACTGGACCGGTATATTATACTGGAATTCCAGTATATTATATTGAAGTATTTTTTCGGATTTTGAACAATGTTTTCGTTCAAATTTATCTTTACATGAAAAGTGACTAAATTTCAATTACTTTTGAAACTGTGACTATTTTAGAATGACCACTTATAAATCTGGCTATTTTTTAATTTCTCCCCTTAATCTCTTTTACTTCTTTGAGGAACATTTATTAGAGTAGAAAGGGTAAAATTGCAAAAAATATAAGTAACTCTTTCTTGTTTTTTTTTTAAACCATGATTATTTTAAAACAACTATTTTTAGCCAAAGTATAACTAAATAGGACGGAAGGGAGTACAAAGTTTATATTGAATACGCATGCATTACACTCATTGATTTGACGAAAATAACGTGTGCAAGTAAAAGACAGTCTGATACACAAAGTATCTGTGTAAAGATTCAAGGAAGGGCCGCGCCTAATATATGCGAGTAAACATTTTTTTTTGTCTGTTTTAGTGCAGACGATATTGGAACAGGGGTAACATGAATTTGTTTATAATTCAAGAAACTGTGCCATTAAGTAAACCATGTGAATTTGCACCCAAAATAAATAAATAAATGTTAACCATATAAATTGATGGATATAATTGAGGAATAAAATACTTGTAAATTCACACAAAAGTCTAAGGGCGTGACGCATGCCGTTAATTGTACACTGCAAATATTAAAATGTAGGGCAGGGGTGATTAGTTTGTCACATTGTCCTTATCTATTTTTGTGATGTTGTTTGATATGGACTGAGTTTTAAAATGTAATATTGTTCCGTATTGTTTTTTTTTTCTATTCTTTTATTAGTATTATCGTATTATTTTTGTCGGTACTTTCGACATATTTTTTTTCCTTTCTTCGAATATGTTTTGGAATCGCTTTCTTTGAGCCGAGTGTCTATCGGAAATAACCCATCTACCTCTATAATGTAGGGATAAGATTTGCGTACGCTGATCTATCCTCTCCAGATCCCACTTATGAAATTTTACTGCGATCCTAGCTTAATTAATCATGCATCTGAAGTTGTTTTTTAACAATATTACGTAAAACAATAATAACAACAACAACAATCATGCCTCCGCAGTTGTTTTTAATAATAATGTTGTTGTTGTAATTGTATTAAGTAATATTGTTAAAAACAACTGCGGAGGCATGACTAATTAAGTTAGGACCGCATTGTTGGGCGCTGGCAGAAATGATGAAATATGTTGTTGTTATTATTGTATTACGTAATATTGTTAAAAAACAACTTCGAAGGCATGACTTGCATGATTAATTAAGCTAGGACCGCATCGTTGAGCGTTGGCAGAAATGACGAAACATGTTGTTGTTATTATTCTATTATGTAATATTGTTAAAAAATAACTTCGGAGGCATAACCTGCATGATTAATTAAGCTAGGACCGCATCGTTGGGCGTTGGCAGAAATGACAAGACAACCAATGCACCCAGGGGCGGACCTAGTGCATGGACTAGGGTTCCCGGAACCCAATAACTCTTGCGTAGACCATGTATTTATATTAAGAAATTCACTAAATATTGGTAAATATCTGATTGTGAATCCAATTATTATTGCATATTAATCTGAAATAACGATAGGAACCCATAAGCCTCAAATTCTGAATCCGCCTCTGAATGCACCTTTAGGGCAGTGTTGCCCATCTTAAAGTACGAACTCTTATACATGTTGAATATGCTCTCTTTGTATCACATTCATTCTTTAATCCGTCCAACCACCGAAATAAAAAGGTAGTTCAGTGCACAAAGTATTCCATATTCATGTAGGGTTCACGGATGAGCCACAATCTAAAAGTGTGTTGTAGATAACCCACTCTAATATATAGAAGTATTAACGGCTGCTTCTAATTATGCCTCTAATCTGACTTATAGGTTATACTTAGACAATGTAAAATCACTGCTGACCTCTAATAAAATAAAAAGCTTAAACAGAGAGAACAAAATGAGAATTTTCAGATCAGTGCGAGAATACTACAACGTGGTGTAATTATGAATAAAAAACTTTAGCTGCTGCACATTGCAATTTGCAACTAAAGTTTCAAATGAAATATGTTCAATTTTGTTTTTACATGATGGACAGATGTAACAGCAATATAAAAATCTTGCGGCTTAAAGTTATCAGTATGACTAGGGAAGCATTGTTTTTTGTTTTTAAAAAAAATATATATTTACAAATTGCAATTAGAAAACAAAAAGATAAAAAGTAATGTCGGTAAGGCCACAGAGTTATTACCACTGTGGTCGGCAAGAGCTAAATAATAAAACTGCTGATTTGATATTTTCAGCAAGAAATTAATAAAATATAAGGTGAATTTAGGGGGGG